AATTTCATTCTCCAGACACAACTTAACATCAAGTCATAACTACACTAGCAATAAATATCACATCATCTCAGGCTGCTGGAAAGTTTCCAATCCCAGCTCCCACGTGGAATTCCCAAGCATTTCTGCAACAGTCTTTAACCTTCATGAGATACTGCCATTCCAAGCACTTTTCACACTGAAGGACTTACACGTTGCTGACCAGAAGCAGGAGCCTCAACTGAGAAATCTCCCAATTTCCTTGCCTTGTGCTAATGTTCCACAGCCTTTCGTTACCTACGCCTCTCAAGACGTGCACTAATGGGACCCAGTAAGAACCGGTATTAAAAGGCTGGACAAGTAGCTCACTACTAGAGTATGTGCCCAGCAAGTGCAAGGCCCTGAGTTCCATCGCCAGCACTGCAAGGTAAATGTAAATACATAAATGAATATTAAAATTGAACATGGAAAATACAAATTTGATCGGATTAGAAATTTGAAGGCAAAAATAATATCAAGCTGCTAAATACATTTTTACAGTCGAAAAATTCATTGTCACTAAGTATTCTGTTTGTGTCCAATATTGCACTGTCAATGGTACATGAATAAAGGGTATTACCTATGTTTCCAAGATAATGTAATATGGATATAAAATAGATAGGTGGTTACAATACAGAACGAAGCTGTGAGAGGGACTGACTATACAAAGAACTTGAAGAAGACACCAGAAAGGGAAACACAGGGAAGAAATAATTTTAAAATTATAACAATCTATAAGATTAGATCATGATAACCTGCAACAACCAGTTAAAGGTCACTACCCTCCATCTAGGCTTATAACATTAAGAAAACTGTCCAACTCTTACTTTGAGTGCAGAGCTATGCCTGGTCTTAAAACAAGATTCTACAATATGTATCATGTTCCACAAGAATCTTTTTCTAAACACATACAATGGAAATTTTTATTACACTTCAACAAGAAAATAATAATCACCAATTAAAGCTTTGTTTTTATTTACTCTTATTTATTTATTTATTTATTTATTTATTTATTTATTTATTTATTTTGGTTTTTCAAGACAGAGTTTCTCTGCGTAGCTTTGTGCCTTTCCTGGAACTCACTTGGTAGACCAGGCTGTCCTCGAACTCACAGAGATCTGCCTGGCTCTGCCTCCAGAGTGCTGGGATTAAAGGCGTGCGCCACCACCGCCATGCTATTTACTTTTTAAATTTGTTTTTTAAATTTTTATTATGAGCATGCGTGCATGTGTTTAGGTGGAGGGGCACTTTCAAGTGTGGATATGTATATGAATGCCACATTTCACAAGTGGAAGTCAGAGGGCAGCCTACAACATGTGGGAGTCTGCTCTCTCCCAGCCTTTGGGGTCTAGGGTTATGGAGTTCAAGTCCCCGGGCTCAGCAGGAGCTTTCACCAGTGAGCCACTTCTCCAGCCTTTGTTCTGTTTTCTGTAGGGAGTAGGCCGTTGTTTTTCTTGGAGAGCTCAGCAGTGTGTCTGTGTCATTTCGTGCACACTAGAGGAAGGAGAGCTAAATACCGTTCCAGTGTGAGAGAGAGAATGCATAGAAGGAGCAGCAGTGGACCAAGCCCCGGCTGAGGGGAAGTTTCAGCACAGCAGCCGTAGGGAAGCCCCTTGGCACCCACAGCCCGAGCTGTGCAAAGCTGGGTCAAGGCTGGGGCTCAGCAGAGGCAAGTGTGCTCTAAGAGAGAAGAGCGCACATCCCTTATGCCCAGAGCTGCTTTGAAGGTTTGACTAGAAAGAGAAGGAAAGTTCTTGCCTCTTAAAATAATCAGGCAAGGAATGATGAATCTTTTATCCTGAAGTCTAAATCCAAATTTATTATCTTGTGTCTAATGAGTGCCTCCTCCCCACTTCCTGCCATAGCCCAGCACAGTCATGGGCCTCTTCTCTCACACTGGCCTTCAGTGGGAAAGAAGGCCCTGGAGTCTGCCTCTCCAAGTATCTAACCAGGCTTTCCTTCTTCAGGACCTTTGCCTAAAGATGCCCTTCCCAGGTTCCCCTGGCCATCCAGCTGGTTCTCTCGCCTCCTTGCCAACAGCCTAGCTACAGTTTTTGCTCCTTGTAGGGTTGGCATATTAGAACCTTGTCTTGTTCACTCTAAACAGATCCATATGTTGGAAGCACAGCAATTCCAACAGTAGTGGCCTGTGCCTGATTTCCTGCATCATATCTCATTACACTCTAATTTACTTATTTGTTCAAGTATGTGTATGGCATACATGCATATGTGTATGTGTGTTCTCATGTACATGTGTGGGTTCATATGGAGGCCAGAGGTCAATGTCAGATGTCTTCTCCAATTGCACTCCACTTTATTTACTGAGGCAGGTCTCACAGAACCAGAAGCTCATTAATTCAGCTAGTCTAGCTAGCCAGCTTGCTCCAGGGAACCTGCCTTCACCTCCCAGGCACTAGGATTACAGGTAAGCATCCATGTCCACCCAGCATTTATGTGGATACTAAGGATGTGAGTACCTCAGGATTACGTGGCAAGGGCTTTGTCTGTAGAGCCACCTCCCTGGCACTCATTATTCCCTGAAATGGACTCTGTTCTCTAAGAAACTGTACTATTCACCCAAGCAGTCTCTGGACACTTTACACCTCTGGGTCAGTGTTCTTTACCTGAAATGCCTGCCTCTCTCCTTCAAGGCCTGGTCATAAGTGTCCATAACCTTCTGTTCTCACAAAATTCAAATCTCCCTCTTCTGACAGGCCAAGCATTTTGCATCCAAGGACCTGTAGCCCTAGTCACAGTCAGACCTGTGATACAGTATGTGATGGGTTGAGCATTCTGGGAACAACTCCTGAAGATGGATCCCAGCTCACCCTCTTCCTAGCTGTGGATCACCAGCAGTGTCCATTTGCAAGTCTGTAAAATTGACCCCTGCATACCACTGTTGGTCTCTTTGCAGAGTAGGGAAATAAAAGTCTACCCACAGAATTCTTGACTGGTGCGGCACAGCCTGGCATAGCGTGCGCACTCCCTGACAGCACCTGTTGTTCATGCGGCTGCGATGGCTGCAACCCTGCCATTGCTGCGGTAAGGCCGCTATGTCAGTCTCTAGTCCTGCTGTTTCCACCTCTAGCGTTAGCAGCTTCTCCTCCTAAACTGCAAACTTCTTAAAGGAGACAAAGCCAAAAAAAAATCCATTGAGCACCGGTGGTTTTCAGACACAAGCTTAACCATCTGTCAGACACTATGGCAGAAATGTCACACTTATTTTCTTAGTTCAAAGGCCCTCTAAGAGAGTTTATGACTATCTCATCTGTACATGACAAACTCAGACTCAAGGAGTTTAGGTCATTGCTCAAAGTTATACAAATACTAAGCCGTGAATCCATTGTTTTTTCTTTCTCTGGCTAACCATTCATTCTCTGAGTAAATACATTTGACAGTCAAGTCTTATATCTTGTTCTTAGGTTAGCTTTGGTAGTACTTGCCTGTAGCTCCAGCACTCAAGATTCTTAGGATCCTCCAAGAGTATCAGACATGCTCTGGGTCCACAGTGAGACTCTCTCTCAAAAGGCAAACAAAAAACTTCATTTAGGTAACAAATTTATCTGTGCTCCAAATTCTTTTTCCTACAGGTAAATTGTTGTGGGTCCCCCTAGTTAGCTTTAACTGCCTACTTGGCACAGCCTAGCATCACCTGAGTAGGGAGTTTCAATGAGAGACTGCCCAGATCAGATTGACCTGTGGAACTGTCTGTGGAAGATTGTTGTGATTATTAGTTGATGTCAGAGAGTCCGGTCCGCTATGGGCAGCACCATTCCCTGGGTAGATAGGCTTGAGCTGCACCTGAAAGCTGAGTATAAACCAGCCTGCAGGCTAGCAGGCAGGCAGCAACAACCATCATCATTTCTGCTGCACTTCTTTCGTTGTGAAGGGAGTTCCTTGGTTGGAAGTAACACTGTGTGGATCAGTAAGCAAGTCTGCCTCTAGCATCCTGCTTGAGTCCTTGTCCTGACTTCCCAAGGATGGACTGTCACCAAAGGGCGGAAGAAGCTCCTCCGCTAAGTGCCTTTTGACCACGGTATTTGCCATAACAACACAATGAAACAAGAATATTCTTAAAGGCAAAGAACAGAGGGAAACACTGAGGAGGTCAGTTGCTTGCCACTTCCTTCTTTGCTTCTTACTTTTCTTTTATTTCAGACTTTAGGCAGCCCTGGACTCACTATGTAGACCAGGCTGGCCATAAACCTGTGGCAATTCTCCTGCCTCTGCCTCCAGAGTACTGGCATTACTGGTGGGTGCCACCACAACTGTCCTGAGCTCCTTTTCAAAGAACTTTAATCAAATAATTGTATTTTTAAATACATGTTTTTAATAAACAGTCAGAAATTTAACACAATTATAAGTGTTTAATAAGATAAGACATTAGTGAGCATGTGGGACAAGTCTCAAAAATGAAAAGTGATCCTTCTTGTCTGACTGTAGTCAGAGAAATTGCCCATGGACTGGGCTGCAGTTTCATTAGCTTGATTAAAAGTGAAAAGCGAAGGAAGGGTAAAGTAGGTCAAAAACTTCTTGACGCCATGAGGATTAAAATACTTACTCACTACTGCCTGTGGAAGACCAGCAGGAATCTACTTGCCAGTCTTAGAGACACCGAAAGGCTGGACCAGTATCCTCAAATGCAAAAGCTGTTTATAATGTGGATGAAAAGCTGTGAAGGCTTGGGCATGAATGCTAGCAGCAGCAGGATTCCTAAAGGGGGAATGCCTTTATTCACCTCCAAGGGAGGGGAGTTAAAGCTAGATCAATGTGCATTCATGATGGGGCCAACTACAGTTTTCAAGTCCAGCTCTTAACTACATAATTCAAGCTTTCTGCTCTTTTATTATTTCTCTATTCCTACGACCCACTTTTCTCCACCCCACCCCACACACATACTACACATACACATGCACATAGAAACACTCACATCCTGTCTTAGTTAGGGTTTTATTGTTGTGAACACATACCATGACCACAGCAACTCTTAAAAGGAAAGCATTTAATTGGGGCTGGCTTAGTTCAGAGGTTTAGTCCATTATCATTATGGTGGGAAGCATGGTGGCATGCAGACAGACATGGTCCTGAAGAAGGAGCTTGGAGTTACGTATCTTGATCTGCAAACAGTATAAAAAGACTGAGTCACACTAGGTCTGGCTTGAGCTTCTGTGACTTCAAAGTCTGCCCCAGTGACACACTTCCTCCAACAATACCACACCCACTCCAACAAGGTCACACCTCCCAATAGTGCCAGTCCCTATGAGCCTACAGGGCCATTTTCATTCAAACTATCACATTTATTCCCTGGTCCCCATAGGCTTATGGCTATATAATAATACAAAATGGTTTAGTCTAACTTCAAAAGTCCCCATAGTCTATAATAGTCTCAACATTGTTTACAAGTCCAAAGTTCAGTCTCTTCTGAGACTCATGCAATCTCTTAACTGTAATCCCCTCTAAAATCAAAAATCAGATCATGTAGTTCCAACATAAAATGGAATATACATTACCATTCCAAAAGCATGGAGAGGGAGCATAGTGAGGAAATACTGGACCAAAGCAAGACTGAAACCAGCTGGGCAAACTCCTAATTTTGCATCTCCATGTCTGATGTAAAAGCACTATTCAGATCTCCAACTTCTTTCAGCTTTGTTGATTATAACACACTTCTTTCTCTTAGAATTGTTCCACTTCCAGTTAGCAGCTTTCCTTGGCAGGTATCTCGTGGCTCTGGAATCTCCAACACCTTGGGGGTCTCCAACACAATCCAGGCTTCACCTTCACAGCTTCACACAATGGCCTCTCTAGGTCTCCATGCAGGTACACCCTGACACATGCCTGTCCTCAGCAGTTTTCTTTAGTAGAGGATGGAGATTCCATAACCCCTTTCTTCTGTCCTTGACTCTAAAGCCAGAACCACGTGGCTGAAGCTGCTAAGTTCTTCTGCTTACTAGGACTGGAACATGGCCCCCTTGTTCAAATATCTTCACCAGCTTTCTGTTTTCAATGGTTTCCTTCTCTAAGCTTGGCTGTCCTGAAACTCACTCTGTAGCCCGGGCTGGCCTCAAACTCAGAGATCTGCCTGCCTCTGCCACTAGAGTGCTAGGATGAAAAGTGTGCCCCACCACATCTAGCCCTCAGCCTTTCTTTAGTTCCTTTTCACAAGTTGGAATCCTAGCTGGTTGGGGTCTTTACCTGAGGTCACCACTCCTTTTATTCCATCTAACATCAGACTTTCTTTAATCTGTCTTTCTGTTTATCTCCTTGACCACAGATTATCTCCATTCCATTTTCTGGAGCCCCCCTTTTTCCTTGAACTGTACACTTTATACTTTTCATTGCTCATCTTGCTCCTTTTCATTATAGATCTTCATGGTAGTGAACACTAATGACCACACAACAGAATCAAAACTAGGCTGTTTTTAAGTTTTCTCTGCCAATGCTATTAATCTAAAACTCTTCAATTTATGCTCGGGCAGACTTTTCAGACAAGGGGTTGGGAAAAGCAGTAATATTCTTAGCTATAAAAAAAGCAAGGATGATCTCTAGGCCACATACAAGTATTGTTCTCCTCTGAAACATCTTGATCCAGGCCCCCACAGTACAAATCACCCTCAGCACCACTGTCTTCCATGCTCCTACTAGGATGGCCCATTAAGCCTCATTTAAAGCTTTCAACTGCTTTTCTAATACAGACCCAAAGTCGATATTCTCCAAACAAAAAACATGGTCAGACTTATCACAACAATATCCCAGTCCCTGGTACCAACTTCTGTTTTAGTTATGGTTTCTATTGTTGGCTGACAGCCCACAAATAATGACACAGAACTGTAATATTAACTATAAAAGCTCAGCCTATAGCTTAGACTTGTTTCTAACTAGCTGTTATAACTTAAATTAATCCATTTATATTAATCTATGTTCTATCACATGGCATTGCCTCTCTTCCAGGCTGGTGGCTCCACTTTCTTTCTTTTTCTTTTTCTTTCTTTCTTTCTTTCTTTCTTTCTTTCTTTCTTCCTTCCTTCCTTTCTTTCTTTCTTTCTTTCTTTCTTTCTTTCTTTCTTTCCTTCTTTCTTTTTTTTGTTTTGTTTTGTTTTTCGAGACAGGGTTTCTCTGTGTAGCTTTGCACCTTTCCTGGATCTCACTCTGTAGACCAGGCTGGCCTCAAACTTACAAAGATCTGCCTGGCTCTGCCTCCCGAGTACACCACCACCACCTGGCCCACTTTCTTCCCAGCATTCTCTCTCTGCCCAGAAGTTCCTTATATACCTCCTGCCTAGCTATTTGCTGTTCAGCTTTTTACTACACCAGCCACAGCAATACATTTTCACACAGTGTGCAAACATCCCACAAGATTCTACTGCTGTGAAGAGGCACCATGACCACAAAGACTCTTATAAAGGAAAATATTTACTTGGGGCTGCCTTACAGTTCAGAGATTTAGTCCATTGTCAACATGGTGGGAAGCATGGTGGCATAAAGGCAGACATGGTGCTGGAGAAGGAGGTGAGAGTTCTACATCTTGATCCGCAGGTAGCAGAAAGACACCGAGACACACTAGGGCTAGCATGAGCTTCTGAGACCTCAAAGCCCATCCCCAGCGACACACCTCCTCCAACAATGCTACACCTACTCCAAGAAGGTCTCATCTGATAGTGTGAGTCCCTATGAGCCTATGGGGGCCATTTTCATTCAAACTACCACACAGCCTCATCTTCATATTCATATATAAAATCAGAACATACTCCTAACCTTCAGGTAAGACGTTCTATGCTTTCTCCCGCCACATCAACCCCACAGGTCTGTTTATGAACTTCTCAGTTCCATTTGCATAGACTAGTTTGGCTATAGGGAATATGGAGAAAGCAAGCAGCTGGAGATGAGAAAGAACTGACAACAGTCTGAAGCAACAGGAGAATTTATGTAACACTTACCAAAATTAGAAGAAGCAAGAGCGCTGCCCACTCACCCTGAGAAGTCCTTGGGGAAATTAGGTATCCTCTTGTTTCTTCTTCTTTCATTTTTTGAATGTCATAATCCCTCAGTTTTGTATACATCAACAGTTTACCCTTAAGGGGTAAATGGGGAAACTGTGAGCTCATGAAATGACCACACACTGGTTTTAAGACACAGGCCATCTTAGAAACATTAATTGGAGAAAACGAGGTACTGTGGGGCAGATAAGGGCTGTGGAGGGGTGATAAGAGAACTGAAAATGCAGTGAGTCTTTACCTGGGAAGTCCTGGGTCCACCAAGAATTGAGGCCTCGCCCTCTAAATCAACTGAGCAAACCTCATCTGAACTCAGACTGGAGCAGCAAACCCAGGGCCTACACAGATCTGCACCAGGTCCTCTGCATATATACTATAGCTTTCAGTTTAGTATTTCTGTGGGACTCCTGAGTGTGTGCCTTCTCTGGGGGCTTCTTTCCTTCTGTTGGGTTGCCTTGTCCAAGTTTGATGTGATAGTTTTTGTTTTATCTTATTATATTTTATTCTATTGGTATCTCTTAGCAGCCTGTTCATTTCTAATGACAGACAGAAGGGGAGAGGATCGGGATGGGGGCGGGGAAGGGGAATTGTAATCAGGATATATTGTATGAAAAAAAAATCGATTTTTAATAAAGGGAGAGTTGAGGGCCTCAACAGCAGAGGACTAGAAGTGGGTTGGTGAGTTCATTGTCATGAAGGCTGGGGTTCTTACTTACCTAGTGGCTACTGACAGAGAAAGGTATGAGTGGATCTTCTGAAGGGAAGGAAATTGTCTCTTTTCAGCATTCAACATCATGTCATGCACCCTTCTCCAAATGGATTCCCAAGGTAGCAAACAGATTCAGAAATGTCCAAACATGACTGACAAAGTTACTGAAGAATATTTTCCTTGTGGAATTCCATAAGGAACTGTTGTTTGTAAGCCATGTATAGTTAAATATGTGATCACCATATGAGCATTTTAGTTATATCTGTCCCTGGGACCACACATGTCATTCTCTGGAAATCCTGCCATTTATACTAAAGGAGTCTGACTCCTAAGCCTCTCCAGAGAGCCTTGATTGAGACATGGAACAGTGTGGGATGCTGAGCTACCTCCTGATTTATTGTGAGGCGCCTTATGGTGTACTGTCATGTTTCATCGCCGTCTCTAAGATCTCCATGAAGTTTCTCTTTCCTTATTTTCTTTGAAGTGCATTTTTGAAGCTCATGATAAGAATCAGAGTGATTACTGAAGAAGGACAGAAGCCTAAAAATAAATAATAAAGGAAGGGCATGACTGCTCCTGGGTATGGTACAGGAGAAGGTTTGTTGTAGAGAAAAGGGAGAGCATAGCCAGAGGCAGAGATCTGGGAGAGTTCAAGGTGAACATGGCCATGAGCAGGAAATGTGAGGAGAGGGGAGAAAAGAGAGGGAAAGAGCAGGAGAATAAAGGGTAAGTGAAAAGGGGGCTGGGTAACCAAAATGGTGGGTTCTATAGGAAAGAGCTACTGGGAGTGGGGGGGAACCCCACTCTTGGCTGGGCAGCCCAGCCTCTTGGCTGGAGAAGTTTAAGGTAGGGGGCATGGTATGCCAGCCATACCCAGTAACAGGTAGGGACTGAGGGATGCTGGGAGAACCTGATGATCAGGTCCACTTTGATATGTTTATAGGCACCTCAGTTATCCATTTGTCCCTGCTTTGAGACCTAACATCCCAGCCTTTGGGTTGATAATAAATGATAAGAGGAGATGCAATCTTTTCTGTGACTGCTTCCTACTGACTCTGAGGCATTGTTGTTGGGAACCCAAGAAAACTGGAGTGCTGGCCAAGGCCAGTAGAGCAGGCTGTTTCACTAGCTGTCCTGGCGTTGTGGGACCATCTGGGTAGGGAAGTGCAGATCATGTTGGAGCAGTTTGTGAGGCTGGACCATCTCAGGCTAGCTGTCTTGGAGCACTCTGGGATGCAGAAGCCCAGGCTGGTAGGAAATTCCATCCAAGGGATAATATGTAAAGCTGGTAAGTTTGGAACATTTTGCAATCTTTAGTTGATTAGAAATCTACTGGAACAAATATATATTAGGGATAGAAGACAGAGTTAAGGAATTTAGGGGAAAATTTTTATCTTGGGTATACATTTGAAACTTCCAGGCCCATGGTCCTAGTAGTATGGGGAGGACAGTCTCAAGACCAGGGAAGAGAGAGGGACCCCACCCTCATGAATAGGCAGGTGGAGACACTTAGGAATATTTATCTGGAATCCATTGGACCTGCAAGGGGTGGATCCAAGTTTACTCCCTGAAGCTTACAATGAATTTTTTTATGCTTATAAAAAAAAGTTTTAAATATGTTAGCAGATACCACTATCAACACATACTTAAATTAACTACACTGAAGGCATCAGACCAAACAGTGCACCAACTGCCCTCACTTCCTACAGGCAGTCTCTAACATCAACTACTTCTGTAGAACCCTCATTTGAGGTTTTCTGAGCAGTTCTTCCATTTCCATGAAAAGCTCAAGAAGACTGGTATAATGAGCAGAGAAATCAGAGAAAGACCATAAAAGCCCAGTTCATTTCAAGGAGAAGCAGTAACCACCCTCCCATCTACATTTTAAATATCACAAGGAATTTAAGTAAGGAAATAAACACTTCACTGAGAACACACTTTGAGCACAACTTTAATTTCCTCCTACTGTGTTCATTACCAAGCTGTTTGCTTTCTTTCAGAAGAATAGGGGGTGGGGAACTTTTTAAAGATTCATTTAACACAGAAGTCAATTTCCACTAATGTAGTCTTCATGTGGCATGGGTATTCTCCTAAAAGCAGACCTGTGTATATAGATATTCATATCAGCATCTTCATTTACAAGAACAGTAAGTAGCCTCAAACAAGCAATCTATTCACATCCACAGAAAAATATAAATGTGAGAACCATGACTTATAATTGCAAAATGGTTAATAATTCTAATATGACTGATTTTCCCTTCTTTTGTAGAAAACAACCAACTGTGATAAGAATAAGTATTACTATTGTACAGCCTGGTTTTTTTATTTCTGAAAACTTAGGCAGGAAGTGTTTCTCATGTGTTTCACCCTAAGGAAGCAGAAACAGTGTGCTCTCCATCATCTGTCACCACCCAGTTCCGTAGCAGAGGGGGGTTTACAGGCATGGAAGTTTTTATTACTGAATCTGAGAGGGCCCAGGGACCACCAGCTTTTGCAGAATCTCAGAGGGCTCCACACACCCTAGACACTCCAAAGTCACTCTAGTGCATATACAATGAAAGGAGAGAAAATAAAACTTTGCACTCATTTGTAGGGGGACCAAGTAGGCAAGAGAGAGAGAGAAAAGATGAAGCACTTGAGCTGCCTACAAAATATTCATCACAAAGCTTCCACTGAGATTTTTTCTTGAACTCTTCAGATCATACCTATATGTAAGGATAGGAGAACTTAATTAGCAGGAATACTTGTCTAATTTATGAGAGATGGGAGAATATAATGGTCACTACTTAAACTTTTTCAACATTTCCTCAACTCTTGCTCTGTTCATGACATTTAGTCAGTGGGAGCAGAGTAGGGACCTTTAAACACACACACACACACACACACACACACACACACACACACACAGTGTGCATGCACACTTAATCCAAAGCAAAGTTCTCAACAGAGCCAGAGAAAAATCACTAAGAGTACTAGAAAGAAGTCTTATATGAAGTGCAGATATTATCCAAAATGCACATATATGTACACACACAAAGCACATTATATGTTGATGAATACAATCTATAAAAGAACTTTCTCTACTATTACAGAGTTTTCTAGTAACTATCCCTTTATTAAATATCTTCATAAGAAAAAGCCATGAGTGGTTACTATAGAATTGGACTGAGCCAGAATTTTCTATGAAACAGTACTCACCACACATTAGAGATCTGTAGGGTAATCTATGTTACAAGCCCTTGGGGGATTCTGTTCCCAGTTGTACTCATGAAATATGTTTTATGCTTGTCTTCATTATTTTTACACATGATCCAGGAAATTTATGTGATTCAAGAAGTGCCAGTGGTCACTTTTGTTCTTAACCTGAATTATCCCATCATATCCTCAAGAGAGTCCTGCTGAGTAGACAGGAGAATTACTGCATCTGCTTAAAAGGTGAAAAGTAGATATGACAGCCACTCACAGAGTCAGTCAGTGGGCTCTAATCCCTGTCTTGATAACTCGAGGTGGACAAGTCAGAAGCAAAGAGCGAACCAGAGACTAAACTGTCTGAGTTAACCTGTTGCTCTTGGGGAAATCCTAAGTGACCTTGTGTTTAGATAATGCATAGACATGTTTCCTTTATGATTTGCCAAGCATGGTGATCTGGCTACCGGTGTTGTGGGGTGATACCCTATACTTCACCTTATATTTCCTCAAGACAGCATATCTGGGCCTCATCAATCTTTTCCATCAAGTTGCTCCCATGTTAAGGGTCCTCCTTCTAAAACACTCCCCTTAGACAGAGACTAGAAAAAGAGAGTATCTGGGTTTCTGTTGCTGAATCCACAGAGAGAAGGAATTGCTACTATCTGGGAACTCACCTTCTACCAGTACCACAAATGAATCAGCCAAATAAGGCAGGCACACATAACTTGTGTTTTCCTTAAGGCACTGTCTGTCTTTAAAGTCAGAACTCAAAGGAGGCACGGCTACCCTGTTCTGTTACAAAACCAGTTTCCTCAGACTTTTCCTCTTCATCAGCTCTCACTGATGTAACTTCTCACGGACTAAAATGACACTGTATGAATTATTATAAGATATTTTTAAATCTTTTTGTGTATCTCAGTGGTGAGTATTAGAGAGAATGCTAAACCCTGTTATGAAGATGGCAGGTGGAAGGAGGGACCTGAGTTAGCATCAATGCATTCATTCTAAGTCACTTTCAGAAAAAGGATCACTGTTTAGTTGTTGTACTGATCTGAAACCTTCAGGTGCAAACATTTGTTCTAAGGCACAGCAGCAGCTCTTTGAGTTAGCCGTGAAATAGTAAGCCTACAGAAAACACTTCTGTTGCTCTGATGAGTAGCCTGAGTGCAACGCTATCTCATCAAACCCAGTCACGGAAGGGAAGAAAATGCTGATGAGGTCACAGCCCAGGAGTGAGGTCACCAGTTAAATCTGACTCATAGCCACAGAAGCAGTGTGACTGATGAAAATCTGTTTGCCAGGTAGAAGTTAACATTCCTTTGCCTACATGAGTCTTTCAGATCAGGAAAGGAAATCTATTAGATCAACTGTTAGCTTACTCATGGTGGCATATGACTAATAGCACTCTAAAGTCCCCTGTGAAGGATATAATGATTAACTGGCCATTCACATCCCAGAAAGGTCACACTAGAAGCCCCTATCAGCACTTCACAGCTGAAGCAGTAGAGTGTGAAACTTGATTCTCATGAGTTCAGAGAATGATTAAAGTCAGAAGTGGTCCATGGCTGCTCATAAATGAAGCCCAAGATTCATAGCATAATCAATAACAGGGATAGGTACAAGAAAATTGTCAATGGAAAAAGAAGTCTAGTTTTTTCTATTTTTAATAAGCCAAGAAAAGCAGTTGAGCTAATGGAAATGTTAGCTGGTAGATGTAAATTTTAGAAGCAAATGCTATTCTGAAGAGTTCAGGAAGTGTTCTGATTATATACATTTTGAAGAACACACTATTAATATTTCAAGCTAATCAATAACACAGTCTAGCCGTCAAGGTAAGCTACTGTTGAGAAGATTTTTTTGTCCTAGTTTTATTGTTTTAGAATCCAGATCCAAATGTTTGGGTCTGATGATAGCAGGATACATTGTCTTTTTATAGTCAAAGTACTGTTTATAAGGAGACATTTCTTAAGGGATAATCAGCTCACTCACCGAGCAGAAAACCGAACATTTGCTGCCACTTCTGGAAAACTTGCAAGCAGCCCCCAGGAAGGAATCCCCTGACAGTGTTTCCCTTAACTTGACAGGACTTGAGCTCCAAGCAGACTGACTTGAACGGGGATCTCCTTTGGGAAGCAATGAGTTTCCAACAACCTGTGGTGTGACTTGTGTTATTTGGAAAATACTCAACCCCAGTGCTTCCTGCCCTACTTGACTTGTGGAACTCCTGCAAGCCCATGTGGACTACGGGTAGAATGAGCAATGCAAAGAGCCGGCTTGGACTTGGCACGTCCTTGTACTTCTGGGCACTGATGGACCTTACAACGACCGTTCTCTCCAGCACTCCAATGCCAGGAGTTGAACTAGAAACGCTCTTCTCAGACAGGCCACAGCCACATCAGCGAAGCAAGAGGAGCTGGGTTTGGAATCAGTTTTTTGTGCTGGAAGAGTATACTGGGACCGACCCTTTGTATGTCGGCAAGGTAAGATGTGCCCAGCAGAAAGAGAAAGTCCCAGGAGATCTGGTGTCAAAATTGAATATTATTGTGAATTGAATATGAATGATCACTTAGCCTATATCTGAGGTCCAGAATGCTAATAGAACATTTGTTGGTGTATTTTACGGTGTATTACTTGTGTTTATGTTGCATTTGTTTAACTCTGTAAAGCTGTGTTACTGTGCCTCTCTAAAACACCTGATGGTATAATAAAGAACTGGCCAATAGCAAGGCAGGAGAAAGGATAGGCAGGGCTGGCAGATAGAGAGAATATATAGAGGGAGAAATCTGGGAGAAGAGAAAAGAAGTAGCCAGAGAAAAACATCAGGGGCCAGCCACCCAGATACCCAGCCAGCCACAGAGTAAGAGAGTAAGCAAGATTACAGAAGTACAAAAAGGAAAAAGCCCAGAGACACAAGGCAGAAGGGATAATTTGGGTAAAGAAAAGCTGGTTAGAAACAAGCCAAGCTAAAGCCGGGCTTTTATAAGTAATAAGACGCTGTGTGTGGTTTATTTGGGAGTTGAGTGGTGGGCCCCCCAAAAGAGCAAAAACAACAGAAATTAGTTGACCACTAGCTAAAATACAGCTTTGCTTTGTGAGACAAAGTCAGAAAGAAGACTCTCTCCTTTCCTATGCCTCTATTCAGTGGGAAGAAACACAACCATGTTTTAGTAGGAAAAGCCTCAGACCTTCAAAAACGATGCAACCCTTAATGGGAGTGGCAGCAAACTTCAGAGAGCAACACAATGGAAAAAGTTAAAAGTTTATGCTGTGTGTGTGTGTGTGTGTGTGTGTGTGTGTGTGTGTGCACCTGTGCATGTGTTTCTAAAGCATTTCTATAGGTCTAACTCGAGACCTAAGTTTAATGAAAATCAACAACAAAAGGATAAAACATCTTTCTTTCAAAATTTCCTAATATGACTGCTTTGGGGTTAGTTAGAGACAATCAATTAATATATTTATAAACTATATATTCAAAGTTCCTTAATTTGTCTATCATCATTTTATTTTTTAATCCTGGCTTTCTCTTCTGTTTGCCTTATTTGGATGTTAATCAGAAACCATCTTATGAAATCAACCGAGGGAGAGAGAGTGGGAGATAAGAAATTAATTAGAAAATAAATAATTCATTCAGATGATAACTTAAACACTTGTTTAGCACCAAAGCTATATGCATATGTTTCCAACATATGTCTCATGCCTGTGGTTTTAACCACCATCTCTAGGTCAATAAATATAAAATCTCCATCTCTCTCTAAAACACTAAAAGCCTTGGATTCATGAAACCTAGGGAATGTGTAGTAGCATAAGACACAAACCATGTGGTTCCATGCCCAGTCCTGCTAAGAGCTTCCAAGGAGCCCTGTGAACCAGAGACCTCAACAGTGTCGATAGTTATCTACCAACCACTCCCTTAATTTTTTAATGTTTAAGATTGTGTGTGTGACAGAGAGAGAGTATGTGTGTGTGCATGTCTGAGTGCAATGACTGCTGAGGCCAGAGAGAACACTGGGCCCCCTGCAGCTGGAGTTAGAGCCAGTTGTATGAGAACTAAACTCAGGTCCTCTGCAAAATTGGTAAGCACTTTTACCTGCTGAGCCACCTCTCCAGCCCCTGCTGGTCCCTTCTTAATCCAGGTACAGAGCCCTCTCCCCATCACAGCCATGAAGCTGTTTCCACTAATGCTCAGAACTTCTGTACTGATTGCTCAGTGACATCATTTTATGAAAATTCCCAGTCACAGCCTTGGGCACTGCTGACCTCCTTCTGAACCATCACAGAGCCAATGTCTGTCACAATGCTGGTTTCTTTCTTTAGTTTAGGTTCAACTGTTGGCCTTGTGCCAGCTGACACCATCACTAGTGAGCTGATCTGCTTCACTCCATCCTCAGTCTGCCCATACATGACTCCTAGCAGACTTGCTGGGCTTGTTTGTGCACTGTTCTTTTCCTCTCTTTGAAAGTTTATTTCAGTGCATTCAAACACCTCTTTTCCTTTAGTTGCTCCCTTACTCTGGATTGAGACTTTGAAACAGTTGCAAGTGCAAAGTCCAATGCCCCTCAAGATTTACTTGTTTTTATTTTGTGTGGATAAGACAACTATGTGCCTGAATGTATTCGTGTGCACTGTACATGTGCAGTCCCACGGAGACCAGAAAAGGGCATCAGATACCCTGAAACTGGAGTTACAAGGTTGTGAGCTGTCTATGGGGTGCTGAAAACTGAACCTGTGTACTCTACAAAACCAACAAGTGCTCTTAACTCCTGGTACTCTCTCCAGTTTCACACCTATAGTTTTAACCACCATCTGTAGGTCAATAAATACAAAACCTCCATCTCTTTCTAAAATGCTAAATGCCTTGGATTCTTTAATCCTAGGGAATATGTGGTACCTTCATGTCTATGATACATGGGCCTAAATGTGTTATCTCTCATAAGAAACTCTTACTCTTTCAATCGTTCTTTCCCCAATCGTTCTTGTCTCAGCATTGCCAGCCTCCTGTTCTAGAAAGGAAGACCTAATAGTCTGGCTGGAGAAGTGGCTCAGTGGTTGAAGTGTCTGCTATGCAAGTGTGAAGACCTTAGCTTGAATCCCCAGAACCCATGTAAATCCAGTGAAGTACATCTGTAATCCCAATGTTCCTACATCAGATGGGAGGTAGAGCAGGAGACTTCCAGACAATGCGTGGGCCAGCTGTCCTAGCATATATAGTGGCCAACAACATAGAAGAGTCTTTATCTCAAACACAAAACACAAAAGAGAGGTTTTCCTCCGACCCCACTACATCACACCATGGTATATGCATGCCCACATTCATACACATGTGCATGTGCTCACATATACATAAACATCACACATACAAACACATGCATACACAGCAACTATTTAATAGCTTCTTTTTCTTTCTCAACACTTTGCATTCTCTCCACTTAAAATGCTGTTGTTCCTGTGCCAAATAAATCCCAAACCTTTCATCTCTCCAGTCTGTACTTCCACCATTATCATTCACCTAAGTAAATTTCTGCCTAGTTTCCCAGCCACTCTCCTCATGTCTACCCACATTTCAACATATTTTCCACATGTGACCTTTGTAAAAAGGCGATCAGATTATATCCCCACCACTCAACTTAAGTCTCTTCCAGATCTTTGCATTGAGGTGGAAGGAGGCCTTTCGTGTGTTCCCTTGTAGCTCACTGACCCCCCTGCCCCTGGGGTCCTTCCATGTTCATGCTACTCTCTGTCTGGTTCTTGTGTTCCAGAAACATGGCCTTTCACAGTTCCCACAATTTGCAAGGTATTTCTGGATGGTTCCCCTACAGTGAAATGGAATTCCCCTGGCTTCTTCCATAGTGGGTGCCTCTTCCTCTGTCTGCTCATTTTGAACCTAAGTTTTCCTGGGTCCCTCTCTGGGCAGAAGCCTAAGTGAGAGTCTATTACCTCCTGTGGCTGGGAGATGGCTCAGTGTTTAAGAGCACTTGTTGCTCTTCCCAGAGGATCCAAGTTCCATTCCTAGTACCCATATAGATGGCTCACAGCCACCAGTAACTTCAGCTCCAGGAGATCGGATACCTATTCAGGCACTAAGACATGCATATGCACACATAAAATAGCAAATGATTTTTAAGTCTCTCACCAATGCTTGTTCCACAGCAATAATCACAGCCTACAGTATTTTTGAGTTACATGTTTGGTATCTGAAGCCTAGACTAGAAGCTCCATGAAGGCAAGAACATTGTTCTCCTTTTGTTCTCAGCACTAAAATTGTCACTTGACACACAAAAGAAAGCTAAAAAGATGGTTAGTGAGTGGGTAAATAAGTGACCACCTCATGGTGTGGTAAGGATTGCCGAAACTGATGCACATAAAGTGCTTAGCACAGTACCTCTGAGATTTCCTCATTGTGATTTTGGAGTGCTCAATAGCAACCTTAGTGCCACAAAGTTCATTCTGAGAACGCAGCACCTCCTAAGGCGTGCCTAATGCTACTGCAAACTGCCTGGCCTCTAGATCCTCCTTTATCTTCTCTATCCTTTCTGCACAGTTAGTCACCACAGATATCCTGTCAGTATCTCATTGCCAGTTCCTCTCGGATTCACTTCTTCCTCTCTGTTTCTGCATTACCATGATTCTCTATTCCTCAAGATCAGATTAACTGCGCAGGTGCCACCTAGTTTCCCTGGGGAACGATTCCTCTGGGGTCATTTTTCTTTTGAAAGTACCTGCTTCAGTATGCCAACCTTCTGAATCAACATATGATTCAGTAACATCCTCTTCATCAGACCCTCTCACCCAGGGCCAAGATGTGTTTTCTTCTGGCCTCCACCCATCACTTAACACTCAGGCCAGGTGTGTGTTCACACTACTGTCCTGACAGATATATATATCCTATGGCTACCTCTCTTAAGTGGCATTCAAATTGCACAGGGTCTACCCTAAAAACTGTTTACATCATGAACATTTCTTCAGTCTATTCACAGTGCTGAAGACATCCAGCTCCATGATAGTTGCAAAAGAGTAAGTAACTGTGGTTATTACTAAAATACATTTAAGAAAATAGCATACTAATATCCAGTAATTATGTTATACTCTCATATAATTTAGGGTTGCCTTGCCTCTTTTAAAAGACAGAATAGGGGTGTTACTTTCCAATACTGTCTATATCACCTCCCAGACCCAGTACAAAAGCAGCCAAAATGATAGTGCAGAAGGAAAATGTCAATTAATATTGTAGTAGACTACCCTAGTGCTTTCAGCCACATTCACCTGAAGCAGCCCATTGTAACAAGGCTGTGAGGTAAATACAACCTAAGGAACTAGGCGTGGAGGAATGAGTTCTGTTAACCAGCCAGGTTACACTAGGGGAAGGAAAGCATAGCTCTCCATAGCCCTCAGTCTCGCCCCACAGTCATGGGTTTTCTTTCCCAATGCTCTGAAAATAGCTGGCCAGTGACTTGAAATTTATCCATGGCAACACCCAGACAAGTGCAGTAGTATTAGGAACCTAAAGACTTGCTTACTCAATGCTCACTGATGTTGGGAAGATGTAAATGTGCAACAACCTCTAAGAGGAAGCACGCTCAACCCAGGACACAATCACATGCCTCGCCAGTCACCTGTCCCAGTCAGCACACTGGGGTTTACCCCATACCAGAGCATCACTCTCCACACAGAGACTTATTCGCTCGCCCATGTACTTTCCCCATCTACTTTCTTTTGAAAGAGAATCCATCCATCTTTCATTCTCTTTACACAAGAGACAGTCAGCTTGTCACCTAAAGCCCTGGAAAATGTGTTTAGAGAACATGCCAGAGTATTTGCTTATTTCAGGAAGGAATATGGCAACAATGATCAGCTTTAATTGGTATAACCTTGTAAAAACCACACCAGGGTTCTCAGGGACATGGCAGTGTGGAGTTAAAGCTAGATTCTATTGACACACGTGAAGAGGGGGTACAGAGAGATCTGCTTGGGCACAGACCTGTAGTCAGTCATGCAGAGACTAAGGATTGCAAGGCCATGGTGTAACCACAATTAGAAGCACTCAGTGCCTTTCCAGAACATCACTGAACACTCAGAAACTTCACTGGCAAAAGTGGTAAAAAACCACCTGTTCCCAAAATCCTAAATCAACTGAGATTTTTTTCCATGTACACATACTTCCCAGCATTCACTTTTATTTTGGCTAAGATCTTAAAGACTAGATTTGTGAGTATAAGAGATATCCATTTATTTGTCTAGAAGATTTCTAAGGGAAAGATGTCTTCCCAGAACGTACTTAAGTGCTGTAGCTGGAGTTCACTTAGTGTTAGCTGGAATAAATATGTATAAAGGTAAAACATTTTAATACCAATTTTCTAAGTGCTTTAGAGAACTTTTCCTGTCCTCTTTTGCAATTTTTACACCCAAATGGGTATTCTGTCGTTCACAAACCCAAATGAACCATGTACATTTCTTTGTTGACTTCAAGCTCCTTAAAGTGTCCCTCACCTTGATAGTCACCTGTCCAAGTTCCACTCTCTGACAGAGCTAGGATTGTACCAAAGAGAGGGCAGGAGGCTAGAGGAGATGAGACTTGTTCCCTTATTTTACCATCAGTTGATCTAGCTTGGAGGCTTTTTCAAACTCTCATCCTTATCTGGCCCCCTCAGGAATACTAACACTCCCTACAACTCTGTCTCAGAGGAGGTAGCTCCTGGGAGGGCTTATCCAAACTCCTGAAACCATATTTAAGCAGTAATGTTTCTCAGAGACTTTCAGGCCCATCCTGAAGAGGGGCCTCCCACATTTAGAGGCCAAAATTTCCTAACTTCTTCCCCTAACTTGTTGTCCCTGCCAGAAAATTCCCTGGGTATTTCCCAGAGTCTGTAGATCTGGTAACCCCATGTTCCCTCTACCTTCATTGCTACTAAAACATCTAACTGGTTGAGGACTTGTTTCCTGAGAGGATCCTGGAGACATACAATTATATTCCTCAGAAATCAGATCTGTGTGATCCACTGTCATAGCTGATATGCCTCCTGTGCATGAAAGGCCCTTCCTACTTTACTATAGGAGCCCTACTCCCCTCCCCCTTGGGTTCTAGTCTGCTTTCTGTTGCTATGATAAACCACTCTGACCAAAAGAATCAGAGGAGGAAAATGTATTCCATAATATCCTTCACTGTGGGAAGTCAAGGCAGAAACTCAAGAAGGAGCAAAGACATTAACCATGGAGGAATGCTGCTTACAAGCTTCTTCTCCAGTTCAAGTTCCACTACTTTTCTTAGGTAGCCCAGGTCCACCACCACCAAGGGATGGGACCACAAGTGGCTGGCTGGGCTGTTCTACAAGAATCAGCAATCAAGAAAATGCCCCCAAAGATATGCCCACAGGCCATCTGATGGAGGCAATTCTTCAACGGAAGTTCACTCTTCTCAGAGTGTCAAGTTGACAACAAAACTAACCAGGACACCTTAAAAACCTGTAAACACACTCAGAAGCACCTGAAAGATGCTATCCCTTAAAAAGAAGGTAACATTAGGTTCCTGCAAAAGCTGGAGCCTGAGCCTGTACACCACAACAGACACCACAACGATTACATAGCCTTCACCTCCAGAGAACTGTCTCCAAAGGCTCCTCAGTATCTTCTCATTAGAGGGAAGCAAGAGAAGGGATGTGAGCTTCAGCACTGATCCCATTTCACCCTAACCAGTCTCATCAACCTTAGGAAGCATGGTCGCCTCTCAGCAGCGCTAGCTTTGGTTTCTGTTGTTTATTAAGCCTACTCTCAAGCAGGCCACTTACACTTGGCCTGTCATGGCATCAAGTGTGCTTAACATGTCAAGCTGTGTTCATTATAACGTCATTCTTTAACCTGTTTTATTGCAAGTCAAATGCCACGTGCCTTAAAGTTACACATGGAAATATACATATGTAGTGTTTTTAATCTCATGATTTAAGAAACTCCTGAACTTTCTGTCTTTCTCCATCCAGTTCCATGGTGCTGGGGAGCACAGCTCCAAAGGGAGTGATCTTCATTTCTGTGTGCCCAGTTCCAAACTAAACTTCTTTTAATTCTGCACAATAAGTTCTGGGCTTTTTTCCCTTGCTCTTTAAACTGCATAAATAGAAGATTTTCATGATAATAGTGTATATAGAATAAAGAAATTTGAGACTGTTATATTCTATATAGAATACTTTTAGGCAGAAAGAAATCCAAGGCTATTTTTTGGGTGATTTTATTCTATTTCCCTTATGTAGATAAGGCACAGCTTCATTCCCTAGGCAGTATGACTTTGCCAGAAATAAGTTTGAGATTAGTTCCAAAACAGTCCCAACCTCTAAAGCCATCCCTGTCTGAGGAGGCTGTGACTACACTTTCAGGTGTTCCCTGAGTGTCCCTACACATTAATCTTTGGAGGGGTGGGGGCCAGGGCCCCTCCAAAGCTTCAGGGGTCCTGGCCAATGGGATCTGCATAACAACAAGTTCTCTAGCTCTAGCTAGGTTTTCTCCTGGAGGCTTGAAGGTGGCAGATAAGAACTGGGTATGTTAATATCCTCCTAATATCCCTTTCTTCCAGCAGGTATGTCATCACCATAATTGGCCCCATTTATAGCTTTCCTACTATGGGAAAGGGGAAAGGACCAGTGCTCGTATTTTACATACAATAATTTCTAATGATCCCAGTAACCCTTAGAATTAATGCTATTCTCCATTTATAATATGAGAAAATCAAGGGTTAGAGATAGTGTATTTACTCATGACAAGGACACTTATCATGATAACTGACATAGACCATATTCAGATCAGATACATTGGGCTTGCAGCATTAAGCCCAACACTTGTCTGCTTTATGATTTGGTGCTGAAATATACACGTGCTAAAAACATAGACAGCAGCAGAGTCAGTGGTGTTTACTAAACTTAATGATTTTGCTGACTCTTTTGAGAGAGGCCAACAGTTAACACAAAATCTAAACACTTTTGCTGTCCATGTACATTATGTGCAGTTATCAAGACAGATGTGTTTCTAGGCAGAGGTAAAATGGTGCTCCCAGATTTCTTTGGAGAAATGTGAGAAGATGGGGCCGGAAAGATGGCTCAGTGGTTAAGAACAGCAGCTGCTCTTCCAGCAGCCCCTGGTTGGATTCTTAGCACACACAGTGGCTCATAGCTCTCTGCAACTCCAGTTCTACCAGGTCTGATTCTCCCTTCTGGCCTTTGCAGGCACCAGGCACGTAAGTAGTGCAGAGACATACACATAGGCGAAACACCCATGCACATAAAGATAAAATAATTTTTAAAAAACAATCTTAGAAAAATACAATCAGGTGAGCAGAGAAACAAGTCTCTAACTCAGCCATCCACATATAGATCTTAGTGAATCAATTGAATCCAAGAATGAGTCCTACCAAAAAAGAGAGACACTGCTGTAAAACACACACACACACACACACACACACACACACACACACACACACACACACACTCAGCATTTAAGCTCACTTGACACCTGAATCTTAAGCAAACATAGTCTTAAATAGGAAACTAGTAGTTGGGGGTCTCAGAATTTGAAGCTTCGCAGGAGTCTGCGAAAGTCACATTCTACTTCCTATATATAATGGCCTTTATCTTTCAATTTTTTATTGTATTTATTTAATGTGTGTGTGTGTGTGTGTGTGTGTGTGTGTGTGTGTGTGTGTGTGTGTGTTTACATGCGTGGGCACATGTACAGAAGTCAAAGGACAATTTTTGGCGTCAGTTCTCTCTTCCCATCATGGAGTCCTAGGAATCAAATGTAAATCTTCAGGCATCTTGTGGTCCCTGGTCTCAGCCCAATAATGAGTCATTTCACCATCTTTTAAGCCAATTTGAACTATCATAAAATTGATGACATTCCAGAAATCAACCTAACCTATCATTTAGTTAGTTAGTTAGTTAGTTAGTTTTAGTTAGTTAGTTAGTTAGTTAGTTAGTTTTTTTGAGACAGGGTTTCTCTGTGTAACCCTGACTGCCCTACAACTCACTCTGTAGACCAGACTGACCTTGAACTCAAGAGATCAGTCTGCCTCTAGGCTTGTGCCACCACTTATTTTTAACTTCAAGATATTTAGACTTGTCCTTTGTCTTTTCTTTTCCTTGAATGAAGGGACAAGCTTTCTCCTTAAACTTGCTCCTATTTCTATGGGTGTCTTCTATGTTTCTCAAGGATAGTCATTTTAAAGAATTAAGATCAAGATATTGAATAGGACATAGAAAACTTTCTGTATTTCTCTTTACTCATCATTTTAAAGCATGATAGTTGTTTACAGAAAGATTTTCTAAACACTGAAGTAGGAAGAACATTCCTATGTAAAGGGAGGTCTTAAGTCTGTACAAAAGTGGAAATCGATTTATTTGCAACACCTATGCATATCCATAATGATATTTCAATGCTTTTGTCCCCAGCTTCATTCAGATATGGACAGAGGAGATGGATCCATCAAATACATCCTTTCAGGAGAAGGAGCAGGCATCGTGTTTACTATTGACGACACCACTGGGGACATCCATGCCATTCAGAGGCTGGACCGAGAGGAAAGAGCCCAATACACTTTAAGGGCTCAAGCCCTAGACAGGCGGACAGGCCGGCCAATGGAGCCAGAGTCAGAGTTCATCATCAAAATCCAAGATATCAACGACAATGAGCCCAAGTTCCTGGACGGACCTTACATTGCCACTGTGCCAGAAATGTCACCAGTAGGTAAGCTGGGGAAGCTGATTTTTCACAAACAGTAGATAACACTGTAGGAGATCCTACTATGTACATACAGGAGAAAATGTGCACAAGTCATAAAAGTGAAGCCAAAATGACCACCAACTCCTTCATCAGGTAGGGAGCTATGTAGATATTGGAAGCAGCCGCATTAAGCAATAATAAATCTTCCAGTGTCTTTCCAGTTCTGATTCCTTAAGAATAAACTATGAATTAGATGGCTAATGGAATATATTTAATTGTTAAGAGTAAATACTGGCTGTTACCAATAAACAAAGAAGACCACATAGGCAAGGTTGCTTTTACTGGTTACTGAGATTTCAAGCACAAATAACTATCATCCCCATTAAGTAACAAGATAGGGGTTAACAAAGCTTGATCTAGAAAGGGAACTCTGCAAAATGTTTTAAGTTTGACGGTTCAGGATTATAAACCAGCTCTTTATAACTACACTTGAACAGGTTTCTCCCACTTCTCTCCCTTAGGTACCTCTGTTATCCAAGTGACAGCCACAGATGCTGATGATCCAACCTATGGGAACAGTGCTCGGGTAGTGTACAGCATTCTCCAGGGCCAGCCATATTTTTCTGTGGACTCCAAAACAGGTACATAGTACAAGTGTCAAGTCAGAGATGATTGCTTATTCAATAATCCTTGTGTTTCCTACTTAGGATAGACTCAACTCTTCTGTTCAAGGACTCTCCAGGGAGTATATTACACTGAAAAGACTGTCATAATCTTTACAATTAGGGGAGCACATTATAACTACCAGCAGGGTGAGACAGTGTGCATGTGTTTCTGAGAGACACCAAAGTCCTGCCTACAGAGACTGTCTCCTCACCTCCTCCCCAAAACTCCCATGTCTACATTTATTTACCAAAGTTTAAGGTCTTCTATAACTCCAACAAGATTAAAGAAGATTGCCACATTCACCTGGGCTTGCTCCAGAGCAAGAATCACAGAGCCTTCTGGGCAATCATTCAGCTGACCATCAGGATTCATTCAGATGAGGAAACTGGGAAGTTAAGTGCTAACCATCACCCCTGATGTTATCTCTGCTGAGCCAACCCTTGCTAAGCAAAATGCAAGGCCAGAGTGAATGGCTGCTGAGCAGGTGGGTTTTGATGAAGCAGCCAACAGCACATGGATATGGCCCCGAGAAAGGAAGAGTGTCATGGTGGTTGCTCTAACAAGGGGGGATGGCAAAGAGAACAGAACTGAGAACAGCGGCATGGCAGAGAAGGAGAGACTGAAGCCTGGGGGCTTTGCTTGTTTCAAGGAACTTTGACCACAGGGCTCATTTGTTTTTCTCCCACTGAGGAAAATCACTTTCGTATCTGTATTGGGCAGAATAACTACTGTATCATTGTTGTCTTACATTTGTGCCAGGATTCTCCTTCTCCAAGCACTTTCATAAACACAACCATTTTTAACCTCCTAAGTTAAAAAGATAGGAAGTATTATTGCTCCCACTTTACAGAGGGAAAACAGACCTAAGGGAAGGAACCTGAGCAAAGAAACAACCACAGAGGTAAACTCATTGGTGAACAGCCAAGGTCACCTCTTTATTTGAAAGAAAAGAAATACATCTCTATTATTACTAACCTGATAGAATCTTTTTCTATACAACCTCAAGTTAGCCAGACATTCAGAAAATGGTATCATAAAGGTAAAACATGAGAGACTGTAAATTAGTGGGGAGGGAAAAGAAAAGATCACAGTAAGAGATGTCTATAAAACAGAAACTTCAATGACTCTGCCAATGGGAAAGGGGAGGAAGAATGAAGGGATGCCTGCAGGGAAGAAAACCACAGGCAGGAACAGGGTCGCATGTCCTCTATATCCTCAGAAGTATTTTACATTATTCTGACAATGCCCGTGAGGGGCATCTGTACTGGTAAGGTCAAAAATACATGAAAAGATTGTCACTGCTTTGGCCAAGAGGCATGTACAAGAAAAAAAAATGCAGCACATTTCATTTCAGAATAGCATCAGTGACTGCCCCTCATATATCACAGGAAGGAAGTCAGGCAGGCTGCTGTCCCCCTCTACACGTTTGCTTTCCATGCAAAGTGCCCTTTAACCACAGGCCATACCCAAACCTTCCCCTCACATGTATGAAAGCCAGATTTTCTAAGCTGAAGGTTTAAACAGGAGATAAAACTCTGCACGTCCCTGGCAGGATCAGAATCCTATATTTCTATGCATCTGGTTTAGATCCCTCTTCTTAAATGAAATCCCGTCACCACCCCTCCATGCTGCTTCTGCTCTGAACTGTATGGGAAAGTTAATTTTTCATGCATGGTAAAAATAAAGAGCACGCACTGAGTCTTTCTGGCCCTCCGTGCTTAAGGAACTCAGTAAGGCACAGAAGTAAGCAGAGGAAAACAACACAGGGAATGTAAACAAAAGGGAAGTCTAATCAAGTTTCATCCCTACTCCAGGCCGAGGGGAAGCAGGGAAAGCACACTAGGAGCCAGTATCTGAGAGTCATTCACACTACAAGGGCTCTAGGGCTAAAGGCAGAAGGAGCCAGGGGATTATCTAATACCACAGATTTGTAGACACATGTAGCTTTGTTTTCCGTACTCAAAGCCCAGGTAAAGACTGCAGTCCAGTCGCCATAGACTGCAAGTCCTGTAAGACTTGTTATCTGTAAAAAAAAAGAAAAACCACTGCTGCCACCTCCTGTTCTGCCTCAGTAATGTTACCAAGGACGCAGCCTCTGGGCCCTCCCTGATAGGTGTCTACGCCGTGGTCCTTTGTTTCACATGGTGCCTTTCTGAAGCTGGGATTAAAACCACAAGTTTCATAAAAACAGGCGATGTGCTTCTCGGTGTTAGGTATTTATGGTACATGAGGGAGACAGCTACGGATGAACCCTCAGAAAACTCGCTGTGTGGTTTTGCTTTCTAAAACAATTCCTGTTCTGCAGGTGTAATCAGAACGGCACTCATGAACATGGACAGAGAAGCCAAAGAATACTATGAAGTGATTATCCAAGCCAAGGATATGGGAGGGCAGCTTGGAGGATTAGCTGGGACCACAACGGTCAACATCACCCTCTCAGATGTCAATGATAACCCACCCCGATTTCCCCAGAGTAAGTACCAACCACAGCATGGCTCTCAGACCAGAGGGACCCACTTTTTACGGAGGTTCAGGTTTAAGCTCAGATTGTATTAAAAATCATTTGTTTATACCTTCCTGTACCACAATCATCTTCCTAGCACTGAATCAATGTTTTTCAACCCTTTTTTCACTATTTCATCACAGTTAAATCTTTTTAGACTTTGTCCCCCCATTTTTAACCTGATAGCCACATTGCCTACTTGCACAAAATTGAATACTAAGACCATGGGCCACAAATCATCATCATGTATAGTATTTGTTTTTAACCACTAAAGCTCCATCAAGAGCTCAATTTCAAGAAGATAATTGTCTGAATGGGAATGAATTCAGAACACATTTTCTGAAACAGCCAAAGCTGTAGCTGTATAGGCCACCATCTGACTACTTTAACCAAGCAATATACAAGTAGGTGCCAAGTAGCACATGATCTATGAGGACACCAGGCATGGGGACACAAGGTACTTACTCCTGCCTCTCAAGTTTAAAACCCACCCAAGGAGCCCACGTCCTGTTCATAGAGGAAAAACCAATGAGGAGCAGTGTTTGGTGTGGCACTTGGGGGTTCATAAATGGTGCAAATTAAGTAGATCCCTGTGTTGACTCATCCTACAACCTGGAAAGCCTGAAGTATCAGCCAACAGTTTGTGAAATGCACAAGTTGGCTTATTGTTCTCAACAAATGAATATGAAGGTTTCACAGGGTAAAGAGACTTAAACAGAAGACTAATAGTAAGGATTTACACTGGCAGAAAAGGAAACACACCAAGCTGAAGAAGCCACATTCATTCAAGCACTGTCAATTTGACACACCATGTAGGGATGCAATATACAGCCCTGTGCAAAGCCAACAAAATCGTTACTGTATCAGAGGTCATATCAGTGGAAAGATGAATGAATGCAAGAAAAGAGAGAGAGAGAGAGAGAGAGAGAGAGAGAGAGAGAGAGAGAGAGAGAGAGAGAAGCAGGAAAAAATAAGAAACATGGACTCCTGACTCCCAGGCTCCTGGCTGGAGGAACCACAGCTGAGGGTTGAGTCAGAGGCGACAACCTTCTTCCTCTGGGTGGCAGGGACAGGACTGTACTGCTGACAGAAGAGAGGGTGCACAATGGAACCAGTGGCAGGCGGGGAGACAAACTCAGATTTGAATATGAAGTGACAACAAAACACTCAGGGGCAATGTCCTTAAGGAATGGAGGTGTGACTTTGAAAAACGAGTGCCTGGAGGGAAGAAACTGGAGAAGCCAAAACAGCAGACACAATTCCAGGTTGAACACTTACCCAGGAAAAGGGGAAGCAAACAAAAATGGAGCCAAGGAAATAGCTCCGCCATTCAAGAGCTTGTTCTGCAAGCATGAGAACCCAAATTTAATGCTCAGAATCACACGCCAGGAATGCTGGTGCCCTTTTGTAATCCCCAAGCTAGGATGTCAGGAAAGAGTGGATCCTTGAGATTCCCCAGTCAACCTTCTTAACATACTTGGCCAGTTGAAGGCCAGTGAGAAGCCTTCTCTCAAAATAAGATGGAAGACACCCAAGGAACAACACATAAGGTTTACTTCTGGTTTCCATATGCAAGTATACGTACATGCACACAAGAACATGTACACACACACACACACACACACACACACCCCTAAGCTACAAACAGAATGAAGCCAGACTATTAGCTGAATAGCTTACATTTTGAACAGCCAGATCAAAATGACTCTTTTATTTCATTTATGTAAACAGAGCCCAAGTAGTCATGCACAACTGGTATACACAAAGTCCCCATGGCCATTCATGAAAGAAAAAGAATATCAGGCAAGTATTTTACAAATGAATAAGTTACTAAGATGACTGGTCCACCAATCAGGATGCAGTACATCAAGTGAACTTCCATACAGAGTGATTAGTGCAGCTTTACTGATCCTGAGTTCCATTTTAGTTCACAAATGACTCATGTTGTGCACACCATATGAACATGGTGGGTTTTTAAATATTTTGAATTATTGGATTTTTCAAATTTGACACTAAATGGATATCCCTGATGGAGATGGATGGGGGAGCAGAAGGCCAAGGTATTACAAAGCTCAAAAGTTTAGAGATCTGGACACTTGTGGGTAAGTCACATGGCCCTCCAAACATGGCAGCTTCTCTAGAACATTACACAATACAGTAAGGACTAGGGCTTTAGTCTTACCCCCAAATCAAAATGCTAACACCCTTCTAACACATCTACCTCGAGTAGTCTCTGTTTCAAATTTCGTGATAATCAAGAACTTAGGATAGAATGGAATATGGAATGTGTTTCATAGAAGACAAAGTGGAACCATATGAACTAGTTTAAATTTGTTTCTAAACATTCACCCATTGACCCTGTTTCCACTAAAATATAATACTTTAGTACTTTTCAAAAGAAATTAACTCATCATTAAGTACTTCTCCACTTATTTGTGAAAGCTAAATTTGAATAATTCCATTATTCCTTAACCCCACCTTGAGTTAAATGCTTCTGTTCTACTATTCTTCTGACTCTCTATTGTAGGAATTCCATTTAGCTTCTTTCTCACAAATATTACCTTAATTAGCTGTGGGATGTTGACAAAATGGCATGCCTACTCTTTTATATTGAACAAGCTTAATCACCTTTAACTGAACTCCATGTGAAATAATATTATGATCTCAAGATATAAATTTCTAATACAAAGTAGAAATTATAATACATGCTGACATTATAACTGTGTTTAAAGACATGGCATAGCTTTCCTTTTGTGGAAAAGAGTATAGGCAGATGCATGTTTTTCCTAAAAATTTCTGGGGAAAAAGTGTAATCCATTGATAACTTAGCATGGCACAGTAGAGAATCCCTGGCTCATACTTGCAAGGAACAAACATTGATTCTTCTCCTGTAGGAGGTGGAGTACAGTAAGCTGTCAGTCTCCCACAATCCTTGTGAGACATCAGATCCTGTGCTCCAGGCTTCCCTATAGTTTACAATGTATAATAAAAAAAAAAAAAAGAGGAGCTATAGAGATGGTTCAAGAGTTAAGAGTGCTTTCTGCTCTCGCAGAAGACCCAGGTTCAGTTCCTAACACCCACATCAAGCAGTTCACAACCCACAACCACCGTAACTCCAGTTTGTTGCATGATATTTTGTTTGTGTTCTGACAAAGTTTACCTGGAGATCAGAGGGCAGAGCTAGCCACTAGTTATCCATAGAGGCCAGGTGGTGGTGGCACACACCTTTAATTCCAGAACTTGGGAGGAGGAAGCAGGATGATTAGGAGTTCAAGCCCACCCTGGGCTACATGAGATTTACTCAGTCTAGGAAAGAAACAGAGCCAGGCTGTGGTGGCACACACCTTTGATCCCAGAACTTGGGAGCTCATGCCTTTAATCCCACTAGGGAGGTGCAGACAGGAATATAAGGTGGGTAGAGACAGGATCCCCACCCCCTATTCAGTCTGAGGATTCATAGAGACAGGATGCCCTGTTTGGTCTGAGATTTCATAGAGGTAAGAACTCAGTAGTGGCTGGCTGCTCTGCTTCTCTGATCTTTCAGCTTTCACCCTCTATATCTGACTCCAGGTGTTTATTGTTAAGACTATTTAGAGGTCCGATGTACTCTGTACCCTGCAAGAACCTGAATGCACATGATGCACATAAACTAATGCAGTCATACATATAGAGAGACAAAAACTAATTAATTTAAAATAAAAGACCACAATCATATTGAAAATGTGTATGGTTTTTGTTATTTGGCTAACCAGCCTGTAAATGATAAAATAAGGATGTCAAAAAGATGAGCCCTAAAAAAGAGTAAGGTCTCAAGTACATGACGTCAGAGGTGAAAATAAACTAAAAATTATGAATCAGAGCATCAACTTAAAAGGGAAGAAGTTACCAATGCTGAGCTTCTGTGTGTGGGATCTGGTTTGGGTATTTGGTTTTAAACTAGAACAAAAAGCCCATGCAGAGGCATCCAGATAGTCTCAGCTATGAAAAACATGTTGATGGTCCACATGTGGAGCTCAAAGGACTTTCTCTCTTTTTTTCCTCTATGCTTACAGGTCTCCATCCACCCTGGGCCACTGGCCACAGAGATGGAACCTTAGCACACAAGCCAGGACATAAGTGGAAATTAGAACATTTGAAATTTGATAGAATAAATGTGCTTTGTGATCCCATGCTTCCCATGAAAAACATGACACCTGGAGAAATATCCCCATTCGAGTGGCATACTAAAGCTGAGAAAGCAGGTGCTTCTTACTAGGCTGAAGGAAGGATGACACAGCGAGAGTTCCACTGTTACCCTGTGTTACTCTTGGGCTCCAGAAAGCTATTTCAACTCCTCCTTTTGAGCATTCAGCACATCCCACAGGCTATAGGGCTGCTTGCACTCTCTGGATTGAAATTTCAAACTGTAAAACTTGAGCTTTAACTTATGATCCATGAAAATGTTTTGCATGGCATGCTCGATATCATGTTTTTAGTAGCAGATTATCAAGAACGTATGTTCCTGCTTTTCTTCACAGAACATTATCAGATGAGTGTGCTGGAATCAGCTCCAATTAGCTCCACTGTGGGGAGAGTGTTTGCCAAGGACCTGGATGAAGGAATCAATGCAGAGATGAAGTATACTATTGTGGATGGAGATGGTGCAGATACTTTTGATATTAATACAGACCCAAATTTCCAAGTTGGCATCATAACTGTGAAGAAGGTGATTCTATTTCCTTTTCCAAATCATTTTCAAGGGCACTTTGCATGTGAAACCGCTAGTGGAGGTGGTTGTGTATTAAGATGTGTTTTAAGTCCTCCAATAAAAATCTCTTTCCTGGACCAATGAGATGGCTCAGCAGGTAAAAGTACTTTCCACAGAAACCTGACAACCTAGAACCTACATTGCTAGAAGAGAATCAGCTTCCACAAGCTTTCCTCTTGACCTCCTCCACATTGCAACACAGCATGGGTTTATCCACACTCAGACACATCGAACCACACACACATACACACAATTTAAAGATAACGCTTCCTTACTAGCTTAATAAGCACCTCTTATTGATTGGACTTACATGCAGAAACACTGGCTGTGGCATTATTTTACAGAAAGCATTATTAAAAATATATTACAAATAAGCCACTTCTACTTAGCCGCTCAGAATGCTATAGCTTGATGCTTTAATGTTGTTAATGATTTAATCAATATTTGAATTCCACATCTTTACATCAGTTTTCCATAAATAGCAAAGCAAGCTATATTATTATGAATCAATAAATAATACATAGCACTTTTTAATTGCTTCTTGAAGACCCATAAATGCAAATGAAACTTGAAAAGTTTTATCAAACATAAAACTTCTTTGTTCCATCTCAAGGTGCCAAGTTCCCTAAAGGGAAATGTTCATTTTCTATGTGCCATAAAGCACATATGGATATATTCAATAAATGGAAGGTAAATTTTTCCTATTTTAAACTTCTTTTATTTTATTTTTGTGTGTACAACATATGTATGTACATGGGTACATGTGTTTATGCTCATTTGTGCAGATGCATGTAGAGGAAAGAGATCTTTGCCTCCTCAGGATGGGGCTAGAGGCATGCACTTGGCCTGGCTTGGACATGGCTGCTGGGGATCCAGCTCAGGTCTCCATGCTTGTGTGGCACGTACTTCACCGGCCAAGCCATCTCCTAACCCACATTAAACTTTTTAAAAAAAAAAACTGAATTTGTGGCCTAAGGAGCTGGATAGGTGGATAAAGCGTGAACACCAGAGTTCCCCAAGACCCACATAAAAAGTGGGCAGTTGTGGCAGCCTATGTTTAACCCCAGCACAGGATTTTAAAAAGATCCAGGATCCTGAGGATCCAGGTTCAGTAAGAGACCCTGCCTCACTAAATATAGAATAGAGTAATCAAAAAAGATATATGTTGTCAACTTTGGGCCTACACACACATAAACATGTCTACATATATGCATGCATATCACACATACCAATAAGTTGAATCTAATACCTTACAAATGAATATTTAATTTATAAAAACACTGATTTATTTTATAAACTACCTCGACCTGCCGCCTTCCTGGTGATCTTGTCCAAGCAGCTACTCACATCAGATGCACATGGTAAGACACCTTGATCCACCCACCATCTGCTGCTTGGGATCCTTCCCAAGCAGCTACTCACACCAGCCGTACATGGTAAGACTCCTCGATCCACCCACCATCTGCTTCCTGGGACCCTTCCCAAGCAGCTACTCACACCAGCCGCACATGGTAAGACTCCTCGATCCACCCACCATCTGCTGCCTGGGATCGTTCCCAAGCGACCATGCACATAGCCACTGGGAACTCTGACCTGCCACCTGCCCAGAGATTTTTCCCAAGCAGTCACAACTGATATCATCTGTGGTACGATCTCCTTAGGCCTACCCTGTGGTGGTATTCTAATTGTACTGAAATGTGATTTTGATTGTATGTTAATAAATAAAGTTGTCTGGAGCTATTAGAGCCATAGCAAGAGTGTGGCGGTGGTGGCACACACCTTTAATCCCAGCACTTGGTAGAAGAGCTAGATAGATCTCTGTGTGTTCAGGGATATAGCCAGCATTGGAGACGTATGCTTTTAAGACCTAGGGGGCTGTACATACAAACAGTGACGAGGCAGTCACGTGTTTGGGTTTACAACCAATGAGAAGGCAAAACAAAAGACTATGAAAAGACGAACAGACAGGAAATAGGTCTCTTTCGGAGAGCTAGGACCACCGCAGGAGGAAGGGTAAGATTTTAGCTCTGAGCTCTGACCTCTCGGCTTTCTCTTTTACATTGGTTCTGTGTTTCTTATTTAATAAGACGGTTGGTTACATCTACACTACCCTGCTGCCATCCACTCAGAGACCTGATAGTAAGCTCCCTCACCCTCAACACTGCCATCCATCTGCCTGGGACATCACCCAAACAGCAGCATATATGTCTGGTAGAACCACAGCAACCCTAGGGAGTCACTAAACTGCCAACACTTTCTACCGCTTTGTTCACAAATCAACACTCAGTGTCCAAAGGACTGAGCTTCAGAACCTCCTACCTGAACCAAAGCCAGCCAAGCTAGGGTAACAGCAAAACTACAACACAGCAAAGGAACAGACATGTGCTGAATTCCGCCAACCAGAAATCTCCATGGCCAGCATGTAATGACCTTGAAACAGTATAAAATGCTAAGACTGACTTATGAATCCTCAAACATATTTATATAATTAAACAGTATAATTTATTATTTTTGAAAATTAATAATATATGCTAGCCTTATAAGGTGACTAAAAATAATACCAATTTGTTACATGGGAAGGAATTAAAAATATTTTCCTACTATACGTTTTGTTTCAACTATTGACACACCACTAACCACTAGAAAATGCCCAAAGCTTTAAATAATTATCTTTTTCTTGATGCAAAAGTCACCAATTCAAAAATTAACTAATGATAAAATGCAGCCTTCAGGATACTTCATATTTAAATTAAACTTTATTTGAAAAAAAACATTCTAAATGATACAATAGTGACATATTAAATTATTATTATATAGATTAGATATCATTATAAGCATTCATTTTTAAAACAATGCATTCATTAATATTACAATTTGAGCAAACTAAAAATGTCTTTTCTCCACTCCCTTATCTGGAAAAGATTAGTTGCAAGCCAGAACCCTGCCTCTCAATGTCATTATCCAAACAGTATCCATGTTCAATCAAAACAGACTTACATTTTCTTAGGTTGTTTAAATTCCTTTTCTGAACTTATGAGCTGCCAGAAAATATAATTAAGAGAAAGACCAATAAGTTGGGTAGATGGACTAGTCACATATAATAAACATTTTAAAGGCTATTGACTGTTAAATCCATATGTCTGGAACAGCTCCCAGATGTCTGATCCACACCCATCATCTTCCTTTGTCATTAATAATGTCATATAAAATTGAAACAAAAGTTTTGGTTTTGATTTATTTCCCTTAGGTCTATTATTTGTCTAAAAAGCACACACTTTTTCAAAAAGAAAAATTAAGCTGAATTGAAAGAATTGGGTCTTCATATAACCATACTGATTGCTACACAGGACATGTGTCATTTTAGCTTTTAAGTAATCAGTCAATTGATTTTCAGTCTCTTAAATGCTTGAAATATGCCTAGAAATATGTAATTTTCAGAGTTTCTTTGTTCTGGAGTAGCATGATATTGTGCCATTTTCTAGTGTTCAGTTTAGCTTCCATCTGTAAGCAAAAAAGAGTAATTGTAGAGAGTGGTCCATTCTCCTCTTTGGCAGGTCACAAAACACGTAAATTCTATACTTCTCTACTCCTAATAGGTCATGAATTAACAATTATCATCATAATCTTATATACCCTTCAAAAAATTTCCAACTTTATGTGATCCAAAACCTTACCCGAAATTATTTGAAGAGCTCTTAGAGACGCAGTTGGACATATTTGCCTCGTCTATATCAGGTTTACTCCCTGCTAGCTCTTCAGCACCCTTCTACCTACACAGCCTTTCAGAGACATTTTGACAGCAGTAAATCCCAGTGCATGCAGTATCAGCCCTGTGCAAAACTAGACTCATGCACAGCACCAATGCCTTTCTCTGCATACAGCTTGCATGGGCACTAACAACAGAGCTCATCACCTGTTAAGCACCCGACAATTGTGACATAGTATCAGTTAGAAAACAACTAAACCCCCAAAGTATGAAATGCAATGAGAACCTATACCCTAGACCTATAGATAGTCACACCAAACCTTTATATGCCATCATATAAATTTTAACACATAGAAAGACCAATTGTGGCACTACTTAATGCAATAATACTTTTTTTTTTTTTTTACTACATTTTGGGTCTTTGGCCTTGCTGCACACTGGGAAATAAAAACCCAACTTTGCTTTTGAGTTTTTATTTATTAAAAAAACAAGTCTTTGTTTTTGACCTTGAATCTGAGGAAAGAATATACACAGAAATTTTGTAATAAAAAAATTACCCACCCTATTTTTTAATATTTTGTATTTTATAATATGGAATCATTACAGACAAAACTGATTTCTTGTGCATGAGCCCTGGTCAAAGAATTTGTACATTTGGGCCAGCATCTTAGGTGGCACTATGCAACCATGTCTCCTTAGTCCTGTCTTCTGGGCTTTCTGAATTCAAAGTTAGATGTTGACCAGGCTTTTAAAGTAAAGTTTAAAAGGGATCATCCATGATAAACTAAATAAACAAAGGTTGATGTGACACAGTATGCCAAGAATACTTGTGAGGCACATAATGTAATTCCTTAGAAAGAATCACTGTTGCTTTGAAGTCAAGAAGAAAACAAATCTATTAATTTCTGTAACTAGAATACAAAATGATGGGTTTCACTAAGAAATTTGTGTACATTTACATGTCATTTTATCTTGCTCACGCCCCACCCTCCTTCCCCATCCTTCCTCCACTCTCACTAGTCCTATTCCTCCCCTAAAATGGGTTCCTCAAAAAGAAAAATTTTAAGAAGAAACAGAAAATCAAAAGCCTAATCCATGAACATCCTAGGACAGAACACAAGCTCGGTCTTAATTGTCCAATATCTTTCCAAGAGAGAAAATGCCCCGGAACACAAGATCACCAGCAGCCATCTTGTCCACCTGGAACAGAAGGGTTCTCAGGAAAGAAAATTTTCCTTCTTAAAATTAGGGCAAGACAAATAATGAGGGTCCCCAAACTTTCTCTCCAGACCATGCTGAGTAAAGTTAAAACTGAGCTTGCTCGACATCTTCCTTCCTTTTTACCCATGATTGAATCTGATGTTATCACCAAGAATGTCAGAATAAGACAGGATGTCCCTGTTTTTACTTTTTTCTCTTTTTTCACTGTTTCAGTGAATTTGGGAGTTCTCAACTAAGCACCAGGATTGTATGTCCTTTTAACTCTGGATATGTATGCTATCAGCTGACCAGTTTTCTTCTCATTGTCTTTCAGCCCCTAAGTTTTGAAAGCAAGAAAAGCTACACTCTGAAGGTGGAAGGAGCCAATCCTCACCTAGAGATGCGTTTTCTGAACCTTGGGCCATTTCAGGACACCACAACAGTGCACATCAGTGTGGAGGACGTGGATGAGCCCCCTGTGTTTGAACCTGGTTTTTATTTTGTGGAGGTGCCTGAGGATGTGACAATTGGAACAACCATACAGATCATTTCTGCCAAGGACCCAGATGTGACCAACAACTCAATCAGGTTTCCCCACAGATTTCACTTTGTCCTTATATTCTGGAATTTTCCTTTACCTTCTATGTAAAGTTCTAGCATTTTCAACCTTTTCAAATCCCATCTCTGGAAATTCTTTTCTGAGCTTTTTCTTGTTGAACAAATAGCATGACAACATCATATAACTGGAGAATTAAATCTTAAACTCACTTCCATTTAGCTCAGATACACACACACACATACACACACACACACACACACACACACACACACACACACACACACACACACACACACACATCCTGAATCCTCAGTCATGGCTCCACTACCACTTGGTACTGTATCAGATTTTGTTGATTTTTGGGTCTGTCCTGGGCATTGAAGGCTCTAAAGCCAGAATCTCTGGTTTCACCCACAAAATGTGCGTGAATAATATCAGCCTCCAAGCTATAACAACCCCAAATATGCCCAGATACTGCCTAATGTCCTGGAGCGGTGATGCAAACAACCCAGGAGCAGACCCACATACAAAACCACCAGTCACACACAGATGTCTAAATCTTCAAAACTGCTGCTTTTGTCCGACTTTATTAGTCCTTTTCTAAGTTAGCATACAAAGAAGTAGGTTTTGTTGTGCATTTTTATGTCTTCATACTTTGTTCTTATTCACCTTCCTCCACAACAAACCTGACCCCATTTTTCTGGGTCCCTTCTGCCCCCACAGGTGTCACCATTTCTGCTTTCATGTCACAGGGATTCCACGGTCCCATTTTCCCCTCCCTTAAGATATCTTCTTTTATGTATGGCACCCTTTCTATTTTCATGTCAAACAAACACACACACACACACACACACACACACACACACACACACACACACACACTCATTTAAATCTAGACTCCACAATACCACATAGATGAGAAAACATGATGAGTCTAGTTTATATTTGCATAGCATGGTGTCCTATTCCATACACTTTCCTAAAATGCCATGATTTCATGTTTCTTTCTTCATGGATGAATAAATTCCACCGGGCACATTAGCCATGTGTTCTTGATCTACTCACCTGTGGATGGACATCTAGGCTGGTCCCACAACTTAGCTATTGTGAACAGAGAGAGCAGCTATAAATATGATTGTGTAAGCATCTCTGCTGCATGATGAATTGGAGTCTTTTGGGTAAATAACCAGAAGAGATACAGCTGGGTTCCTTGGTTTTGGAGAAACCCCACACTGATGTCCACAGTAGCAGCAGCAGATTACATTTCTGCCAGCAATGTGTAAGGATCTCTTTTCCCTACATCCCCACCAGCATTTTTTTTTCTTGTTTTCTAGAGAAGAGATGCAATCTCAAAGCAGTTGTAATTTGCCTTCCCTGATGATTAAGAGTACTGAGCACATTTTCAAATAGTTATTGTCCACTTTTATTTCTTCTTTTGAGAACTGTCAGTTCAGTTTATTAGCCCATTTTTCAACTTGGACGATATGTAGGGTGCATTGGTGTTTAATTTTTGCAGTTCTTTGTGTATTCTAGGCATTGATGTCCTATCTGATGTATGGTGGGAACAGATTTCTTCCTCTCCATGTAGCATCTATTTACCATGATGATTGCTTCTTTTGCTTTGCAAAAGCTACTTGACTTCATGTAATCATATTTGCAGTTCTAAGAATTATATCCTGTGCTGTTGGATTTCTTTCTAGAAAGATCTTACCTATACCTGTACCTTGAAATACATTGCCTATATATTCCAGTAGCAGTTTCAGGGTTTCAGGCCCTATGTTAAGATCTTTGATCCATTTGGAGCTCATTTTTGTAAGGGCTGAGAGACATGGCTTCAGCTTCATTATTCACTCTGTGAATATCTAGTTTTCTCAGCATAATTTATTAAAGAGCTTGTGTTTTTTCCAATATATGATTCTGACAGCTTTGTAAAAACATTAGGTGGCTACAGCGTTTTGTGTTTAGTTCTGGTTCTACTTTCTACTGCATTGGTCTGCATGGTTTTGGACCACTACCCTGATTGCGTTGTTCCTATGGCTCTTTAGTATAACTTAACACTGGGAATTGTGAGACCTCCAACACTGCACTTTACTATTGCTTTACCTGTTTAGGAGTCTTTGCTTTTGTTAGCATATGTTATACCGAATTACCTAACAATAGGCTTCAATGTGAATTTTTCATAGATGTATACGATGTGGTTTTATCACCCTCACTTCCTACCTTTTGTCTCCCCCAAACCTCACTGAGCTGATCCTCTTTCTCTTTCCAAGTAGTCCCTCTTCTACTTTCATGTCTTGGGGGATTTTCTGTTTGGTTGGTCCATTAGTCGATTGGTGTTAGAGGTAGTCTCTGGCTTAGGGGTACCTGATGAGTTTTATGAGAGTTGCTTACAGGAACTTGGGCATCTTCATAGTGGCTAAACCTCTGAAGAAAATGTTTCTCCCTCCCCCAGCAATCATTAATTGCTTATAGATTTGTAGAAAGGGATGCGGCCTCATGAGCCCTCCCACTTCCATGGTAAGATGTAGACCGCTCTGATCTTCCCCAGGTAATCATAGCTGCTGTCACTCAAGCGTGCAACAGCCATGCCATGCTTAGAGCACAACTTTCCTCAATACTCCATCACATCTTCCAGCTCTGGCATTCTTCCTGTCCCTCTCTTTCACAATGTCCCCTCAGCATTGGAGGGTATATTCGGATGCTTTCTTATGGCTGAATATTCAACAATCCCTTAGTCTCCTCGTTTTGACCTGGCATGAGACCTTATAGTCCCCCCAGCAGCTGACAGCAGCACCAATCTATGAGCATAAACATTTTGCTTCAGGAGGCAGAGGCAGGGGGGTCTCTGTGAGTTCAAGGCCAGCCTGATCTACAAAGCAAGCTCCAGGAGAGCCAGGGCTACACAGAGAAACCCTTTCCAAAAACAAAAACAGACAAACAAACAAACCATTTGCTTCTATATAGATTTAAAGGTTGCTTTTTCTGCAGCTCTGTGAAGAATGTAGTTGAAATTCTGATGGGGATTACGGTGGATCTCGGCTCTCTTCCTGTAATATGATGATTTTTACAATACTAATTCTACCAATCTGAACATGGGATATTTTCCATCTTTTAATCTCTTCTTCAGTTTCCTTCTTCACTATTTCAGAGTTTTCACTGTGAAGATCTGTAACTTCTCCTAGGTTAGTCTAGCCCGAGGTAATTTTAAGTAGTGGTGAATGGATTTTTTCCCTTGCTTTCTTCGTCAGATAGTTTAGTGCTAGTGTATAGGAAGACTACTGACTGTTGTACTTTAAAATCCACTCACATTCTTTCACATTTACTAGCCGTTGACATTTCTACTTTTAAAACAAATGGGAAGACCAAGTTGTGATAGCACACACCTGTAGTCACAGCATTTGGGATGCAGAGAAAGACAGATAACCTCAAGTGTGAGGCCGGCCATCAGGTACAGAGTGAGATCCAGGACAGCCAGAGCCATACAACTATAAAATGATACCTTGTATAGTTATTTACAGTGAGCCCCTGATCTCAAAAACTAAATAAAACAAAGTAAGAAAATATTATATACCATATATTTCTTTATAGTATAGAAAAACAGACACAGAAACACCCCCTAAGGTCAGTGGTTTTGATGACTGACAGATTGGCCAGAGAGTCCTCTATACTACACATAATCCTCCATCTCTGTCTCTCCAAGGTATGTTTTGCTATAAAGATTGCAACTGAGATGATTCCCCTCAAGACTGAAACCTTTCTCTGAGAGCCTTGGCGGTTTCCAGTCAACTCTGGAAGCAAGTGCAAACAGCTGGTGGACAGACTGACACCTCAACCTTCCACAGCCACTGCCAAGCCTCTGAAGCCAGACTCGCAAACGATCAGAATTCCAAGGCTGTTTGAGGCCATCTGTCACATTAATTGTTGAAAGCCACACAGTAAAATGAATCTGGAGCCTCGGTACAGATAAAACGTTTTGAACACACCCCCATTTATCAACTGCCTTTTTTGTCACCTGGCCGCTTCCCTCATCTGGTGCCGTTTGTGTTTAATGAAAATGTGCTTTTGGAGTTTAACAGGAATGATTTTCTCCAGAGAATAACTCCACCAGGGGAAAGTCTGCTCCCTCTGACTAACTAGTAAACACATTACATGTTCAAGCATCAAAATGGCTACAAGTGATTTTAGTTCTTTAATTTTTAAAAAACAGAAAATTTTTCTGAATTATAAAAACTTTATAAATTTATATTTCAACCTTAATCTTTCTGTTGTAAAACAACATAAGTGAAACCATAATGTCCCCATAACAATCACAACACAATGAAACAGATGCATCATAAATTTCTGTTTTCAGAAACACATGACTTTGTGATCATGACTTGTTAATTATATATCTATTATTTTATGAGATAGCAGTTAGTTTTCTTGTCAAAGAAGATAATGTGGGACTACTGTAGAGAATAAAACCTCATGGCAGAGAAATAAAACAAGCATAAATGTAAATGAAAGGAGATTCAAGTTCTAAAATAGATATGGACTGGACAGTATATTTCCATGTTATCTCCCAGATTCTGACTGTGGACCTCTATGTAATAACCACTGGAAACAAGGTCTGATAAGGAGTCACAATAATGAGTAACAAATAAATCAAGAGACTGAATGCAATCAAGTACACGGGCATGCATACTCACACACACACACACACACACACACAACTTCACAGGGTGTATCTGGGATTCAGTACTACAGCCTTTATCCCAGGACATCTCAGTGGGGGCAGTGGAGAGAAAAAAACATTCATGGTTCAAGATTCATTCATGACTGCAGCAAAATGAGACCGATAAGATGAAGAAACCTGTCTAGCTAACAAAAAATGCCACTTCAGCTAGGACCTTTGAAGACATCTGTCAGCATGAGGGGCTTCTAAGGAAGCCCCTGGCTATTCCAAGGAGCCTAAGCAGGATGAATACAAGAGCACATACCCCGAGGCTAGAACAGGGTCCCCTTGCTGTTCTGGGGCAGAACTCTACAT